ATATGTTTAATGTTTTTTAGCATTTTTTTATATAATTTTTTAAAAAAAAAATTTGATGGTTAAGCAAAAGGCTATTTAACATTTTTTAAACATTAAGGCCTCATGATTATTATTGTGTTACCATTATTAAAATGGCATCTTAAACCAAATAATCTTTAAAAGTGGCCGAGACAGGGCAAGCAGACAGAAAGACACAGGGAACAGAAAGACAACACAAGGGAGAAAGAGACACACACAGGGAGACACACACAAGTAACAAAACAGAACCAGTAGAAACAGACCACAGGGAGACAGAAAAACACACAGGTAGACAGAAAACAGACACACAGGGGAGACGAAAGACAAAAAGACAAAAAACAGAAAGACAGAACAGGTAAAACAGACACACAGGTAGACAGAAACACACACAGGTAGACAAAAAAAGACATACAGGGAGACATAAAAACAGACACAACAGGTAGACAAAGACAGACACACAGGTAGACATAAAGACAGACACACAGGTAGACAAAGACAGACACACAGGTAGACAGAAAGACAGACACACACAGGTAGACAAATAAACAAAACAACAGAGATACAGACAGACACAGACATACAGGCAGACAGATACAGACAGGTTTATGTGCAACAGTGAAAACAAATAGAGAGTTCGAGAGTAAGAGCCTTTCTTGCCACAATCTCCAGTGCAAGATTCAGACTTCATCTTAGGAGCCATGGTGAAATTTACTGTCCAGTTAGTGCAGTTAATACAGTATGATGATGCTCATAGGGCAGGGTTACTCAAACTGATGCTGCCTGCATGACGCATTGCTGCTGCGAGTATCGTCAAATACTGTACAGCAGTGTGCATCAGCCAGCCCAGCCCAGCTGCCAGATGCACGGTTGTAAGTCGAGTGGACATATGTTGGGCAGGTCGTAAGTCGGATGGTAGGTGTACGTCTTACGAGCCACCGTGTTCAACGCATACATACTCAAATTCTAACGGCTTCAAATCAAGCAGAAGAAAGCTGGTAGGCCCACATGTGAGAGAGTGGGTCTGTGTGGTCAGTGTGCACCACATTAGAAAAATCCTTCAGCACACTGTGCATAATGAGAAAAAAAAAGACAGTTTTTTTTTTTTAATTAAAATGCCAACTTTGCGGTCTATTTCCGTATGGTATTTATGGTTGCATTCTCATTTTCTTGGTCTCATTTGATAGAATGGAAAACATATTATAGAAATAGAGGTGATTTTGATTGGTTTTACTATGAAAAGAACCTTGAAATGGAGCTCAAATTAGGGGAAATGTTTAGTTTTTGCCAATTTTCAAAAGTAAACACATGATGTCATTTTCCAATAAATGTCCAAGTAGCCATTCTAATATGAAGTCACGAATGGGTTGACATTATTTATACAATTATTACAATATTACTGTATAACAGTAAATCTTCTATTTTTTGTTTGAATAAAAATTCAAAATAGAAAGCAAGAGTAATATCAGAGGGGCCTGGAGACATGACTGATGAACAAAGACAATGTTACTTTAGAGCCAGGAATGTCTGCATTGTTCATTGTGGACCTTATTTTGAAATTGCCATTTTTTAATTTTTCGTGAAATTGGCCAAATTGCAAATTTCTGACCAGTTATTGGGTAGATGAAAATGGTAAATGGGCAGTTTTCTTGTACTCAATCGATAGAAGAAATGGAGTTCTAAAGAAATAACTGAGTTTCGACAACTGGAACAATGGAATTAGCCGAAAAATATGGCTCAAAGTGGGCGAAATCGCCGATTCATAAATATGGCCGAGTTCGCTAACTTCGCGAGAGCGTAAATTTTGTCAGTTTTCCATCAAATTCGTTCTTTGGTGTCATTACAATTTGGGAAAAGACTCTCTATCATTTCGTAAGTATTTTTTTTTTCCGGAAATTTTGCAACACCAGGAGACACCTCAGGATTTGGGGTTTGTGACAGTCAAGGGGTTAGGCGCATGCATTGTACTTCCACCTCCAGGACACAAGTCCCGCTAACCGGTTTTCCCTGAAACCCTTCACAAAAATATTACCCTCCTCACACTCCAACAGCTCATCAGGTCCCAAAAACCATTCGTCTCCACTCACTCCTATCTAACATTTTTTTATTATTTATTTTATTATCACACTGGCCGATTCCCACCAAGGCAGGGTGGCCCGAAAAAGAAAAACTTTCACCATCATTCACTCCATCACTGCCTTGCCAGAAGGGTGCTTACACTACAGTTTTTAAACTGCAACATTAACACCCCTCCTTCAGAGTGCAAGCACTGTACTTCCCATCTCCAGGACTCAAGTCCGGCCTGCCGGTTTCCCTGAACCTCTTCATAAATGTTACTTTGCTCACACTCCAACAGCACGTCAAGTATTAAAACCATTCGTCTCCATTCACTCCTATCAAACACGCTCACGCCACGCCTGCTGGAAGTCCAAGCCCCTCGCACACAAAACCTCCTTTACCCCCTCCCTCCAACCTTTCCTAGGCCGACCCCTACCCCGCCTTCCTTCCACTACAGACTGATACACTCTTGAAGTCATTCTGTTTCGCTCCATTCTCTCTACATGTCCGAACCACCTCAACAACCCTTCCTCAGCCCTCTGGACAACAGTTTTGGTAATCCCGCACCTCCTCCTAACTTCCAAACTACGAATTCTCTGCATTATATTCACACCACACATTGCCCTCAGACATGACATCTCCACTGCCTCCAGCCTTCTCCTCGCTGCAACATTCATCACCCATGCTTCACACCCATATAAGAGTGTTGGTAAAAACTATACTCTCATACATTCCCCTCTTTGCCTCCAAGGACAAAGTTCTTTGTCTCCACAGACTCCTAAGTGCACCACTCACCCTTTTCCCTCATCAATTCTATGATTCACCTCATCTTTCATAGACCCATCCGCTGAAACGTCCACTCCCAAATATCTGAATACATTCACCTCCTCCATACTCTCTCCCTCCAATCTGATATCCAATCTTTCATCACCTAATATTTTTGTTATCCTCATAACCTTACTCTTTCCTGTATTCACTTTTAATTTTCTTCTTTTGCACACCCTACCAAATTCATCCACCAATCTCTGCAACTTCTCTTCAGAATCTCCCAAGAGCACAGTGTCATCAGCAAAGAGCAACTGTGACAACTCCCACTTTATGTGTGATTCCTTATCTTTAACTCCACGCCTCTTGTCAAGACCCTCGCATTTACTTCTCTTACTAACCCCATCTATAAATATATTAAACAACCACGGTGACATCACACATCCCTGTCTAAGGCCTACTTTTACATGGGAAATAATCTCCCTCTTTCCTATGTACTCTAACTTGAGCCTCACTATCCTCGTAAAAAATCTTCACTGCTTTCAGTAACCTACCTCCTACACCATACACCTGCAACATCTGCCACATTGCCCCCCTATCCACCCTGTCACATGCCTTTTCCAAATCATAAATGCCACAAAGACCTCTTTAGCCTTATCTAAATACTGTTCACTTATATGTTTCACTGTAAAACCACCTGGTCCACACACCCCTACCTTTCCTAAAGCCTCCTTGTTCATCTGCTATCCTATTCTCAGTCTTACTTTTAATTCTTTCAATAATAACTCTACCATACACTTTACCAGGTATACTCAACAGACTTATCCCCCTATAATTTTTGCACTCTCTTTTGTCCCTTTGCCTTTATACAAAGGAACTATGCATGCTCTCTGCAATCCCTAGGTACCTTACCCTCTTCCATACATTTATTAAATAATTGCACCAACCACTCCAAAACTATATCCCCACCTGCTTTTAACATTTCTATCTTTATCCCATCAATCCCAGCTGCCTTACCCCCTTTCATTTTACCTACTGCCTCACGAACTTCCCCCACACTCACAACTGGCTCTTCCTCACTCCACTCTACAAGATGTTATTCCTCCTTGCCCTATACACGAAATCACAGCTTCCCTATCTTCATCAACATTTAACAATTCCTCAAAATATTCCCTCCATCTTCCCAATACCTCTAACTCTCCATTTAATAACTCTCCTCTCCTATTTTTAACTGACAAATCCATTTGTTCTCTAGGCTTCCTTAACTTGTTAATTCTCACTCCAAAACTTTTTCTTATTTTCAACAAAATTTGTTGATAACATCTCACCCACTCTCTCATTTGCTCTCTTTTTACATTGCTTCACCACTCTCTTAACCTCTCTCTATTTCTCCATATACTCTTCCCTCCTTGCATCACTTCTACTTTGTAAAAACTTCTCATATGCTAACTTTTTCTCCCTTACTACTCTCTTTACATCATCATTCCACCAATCGCTCCTCTTCCCTCCCGCACCCACTTTCCTGTAACCACAAACTTCTGCTGAACACTCTAACACTACATTTTTAAACCTACCCCATACCTCTTCGACCCCATTGCCTATGCTCACACTAATCAGGCTGCCCATCAACAGTCCTGGTCAGGGACCATGCCATGAAAGTAGTGAAGGTTTTCCAGGTAATTTATATCCAATATACATCATTTATATTTTTCAAACTCAACAAGGCAGGGAAACAAAAATAAAAAAACACATTCTCTATCATTTATTCAATAGCCATCTTTCTAGACATGTGTTAACATCACAATCAGATTACCCAGCTAACTGGTTTTCCATGAATCTCTTCTTAAAAGATGCCTTGCTTACACTCTTAAAAGCACGTCCATTAAAAACCGCTTGTATCCATTCACTCCTATCTAATTCGCTCACACAATACTGCTGGATGCTCAAGCCCCTAAAACTCAAAAGCCTCCATTACCCCATACCTCCAATCATTTCTGGGATGACCATTATCCCTCCTACCTTCCATCCTTTTCATCAACCTACCCATCTCCATCCTCTCTACATGCCCAAACCACCTCAATAACTTTTCCTCAACCCTTTGAATTATACCTTGGTAGTCATTTTAATAATAAATGTACGCAAATCATCTATGTTTCTCAAACCTGCAAAATCTCAATATTGGTTGCCAGCATCACATCTTCAGATGGAAAGGACTGACCAGATGACCTCCAGCTGGTGGATGGTGGTGTAAAAGTTGTTGGCAAGAGATTCGGAGCCAACACTATTGCTAGGTTATGTGCATCCATAAGGTTGCTCCCACTTGCTGCTACAACATCTGAAAAAAACTATGACGACAATATGTATTAACATTATGTCTACATCTGTGAAATCATTAATTCTTTTTTTTTTTTAACCCATCGGCCACCTCCTACCGAGACAGGGTGACCCAAAAAAGAAACTTTCACCATCACTTACTCAATCAATGTCTTTGCAGAGGTGCCCAGATATGACAATTTAGATGTCACTCCAAACAGCCAATATCCCAAACTCCTTTAAAGTGCAGGCATTGTACTTCCCACCCCCAGGACTCAAGTCTGGCTAACCTGGTTCCCTGAATCCCTTCACAAAATATTACCCTGCTCACATTCCAACAGCTCGTCAGGTCGCAAAAACCATTGATCTCCATTCACTCCAACATGTTCACACATGCCTGCTGCATGTCCAAGCCCCTTGCACACAAAACCTCTTTTACCCTTACCTGCACCCTTTCCTAGGACGACCCCTACTCCTCCACTACAGATTTATACACCCTCCAAGTCATTCTAGTTTGCTCCATCCTTTCTAAATAACCAAACCACCTCTGAATATTACTATTTGTAACTCCACACCTCCTCCTAATTTCCACACTATGAATTCTCTGCATAATATTCACACCACACATTGTCCTTAGACATGACATCTCCACTGCCTCCAGCCTCCTCCTCACTGCAGCATTCACACCCCCCCCCCCCCCATGCTTCACACCCATACAAGTGTGTTGGTACCACAATACTCTCGTATATCCCCTTCTTTGCCTCCATGGGTAACATTTTTTGTCTCCACAGATACCTCAATGCACCAATAATTTTTTTTAACACACTGGCCATCTTCCACTGAGGCAGGGTGACCTGGAAAAGATGAAACATTTTTCACCATTATTCACTATCACCATCTTACCAGGAGGCATACCAACATTATTGCTCAGATGCCCCTCCAAACTGAAATATCCTCACCCTTCCTTCAGAGTGCAGGCACTGTACTTTCCATCTTCAGGATTCAAGTCTGGTAAGCTACTTTCCACTGAATCCCTTCATAAATGTTACCTTGCTCACACTCCTACAGCACAAAAAGTCATGAAAACAATTTTCCTATGCTCCAGTTGGATGTCCAAGCCCCTCATGCACAAAACCTTTATCACTCCCTCCAACCTTTCCTAGGATGACCCCTACCCCTCCAAAACAGATTTATACATCCTTCTAGTTATCCTATCTTGCACCATCCTTTCTGAATGTCCCAACACTCCAAACCTACCTACTATACCATTTACAACTGTCTCACCCACTTGAGCACTTAGGCCCCCTTCAACAATTCTCTCAAAACTCCCTAAGTGTTCACTTAGCACTGAAAATCTTTCTTTTCCCTACATGCCTCTTACCTCCAGGTACTTTGACCCTTATGCTAACCCACTTCTCGCATCCCACCTATATTCTCACTCACATAAAATTCTTGAGTTTGTACACTTATAAGCCCTCTTCTTTTCCGTAAGTGCTCATTTAATATTACCATCACTCCTTCCTTAGCTCTGATTTTCTCAGATATACCAGACTTAATTCACTTATCCCTTCCAAATGAAATTCTCCTACCTCTTTTAGTTTTGTTTCATTTAGTGCTAGGATATCCAACTTCTTTTCATTCATAACATTAAAAATCAATTATTTTTTATTTATACTACATCAGTGCACATTCAAACACTAATTTAAAAATTCTCTTCTTTGACTTTTGGTAAGTGAATACAGGAGTTACTAGCCCTTGCTCCTGGCATTTTAAATGCTTTTTACAACACCCACAATTTACTGGAAAAAAATTCTAGCCCACTGCCTACTGTAATGGTATGTCGGCCCACTTGTTTGCAAGTAATATATGAAAAAAAAAAAAAAAAGAGACTGCTATTTTGTACACCTTATGCTACAATTATGAAGTAATGACACAGAATTTTTTTTATTCTATATCTCTTCTAAGCAGATGTATACAACAATTACAAACATGTATTGGACAGTTTTTAAAAAGTTTTCATCTTTATGAACAGAAAACTGGAACTAAGGGAGAGCTGTAGATGCCCACGACTCTAGACATTTGGTGTGTGACTAAAACTCACTAGTCAAACACCATCCATTCCAACAACTCATAATAAAAACTTTAAAAATAAAGCTTTCTGTAATAGACAAAATTCTGTGCTAAGAAATTTTTTTTAACTTACATCCATCAGGTATAACAGTGTATCTCTATGAGTTTGAGGCAACAGCAATGTGCAGAGAATAATAGCATCAAGTCTGGTTTCCTGTGCCAAATCCATACTTCTGTAATGAAAAAGGAAAAAAAATATACATTAGATTTATCAGCACGAAATGGTTCTGATAGCAATGTTGAAGAATGTATAAATCCACCTTATTTTTCTATGCTCTATTTAATTTTCTATACTTCTATTAATGAATACTGTATTCCCTAAATGAAATCCTGAGAGTTCTGCACTCTTAAAGCAACCAGGGCTGTGCAAAGTATCGGAGGTAATCAGGTAATTTTGACGATATTAACCAAAGAGTGAGGAGTGGTCAATTCTGATGGTACTGGTAGGTGTTAGCCAATTACAATGGTATCAGTATCAGCCTAAAATTGAGTATCAGTATTGGCAGAACTTTTGGTATCATCCAATCACTACTTAAAGCCTGACCCAAAATCATTTTAAAGAGCTGGAAGTACATACTCAGCATCAAAACATTAAAATTAAAATTAAAATTTAATACACCTGGCAGTACTGAAGCCGAATTCCTGTTACCCATTTCCTTCTACCTTGAAAAACTTTGTCTATAATCCAGTAACTGAGTGGGATGTGGAAGGTTGTGTAGCAGTAGGGAAGCTGGAGGAATCTGGGGAGGGCCAGGCAAAGCAAGGTGATGCTTGCAAGGTGAGGTGCGAGCTAACGTTCAGGGCCTTGGGCGATTTACTTATTTCACTAATTAGAAAGCATTAAACCCATAGGGGGGTCATACAATGCCTGGCAATGGGTTCAATTTAAGGAAAGAGAGAATGACTCCAGTTCCTTGGATCAAAAGCCCTTCACTGGCATCAAAGCACCCCTGCCCCTTGAAGAATGGAGGAAGGGGGTTCATAGGTGAGTTTTGTAACCTATGAGTAAATACCAAGTTCTCAGCCAGCCAAGGATGCAAGAGCTAGAGGAAGTACACTGGCTGTGGTATCAGCTGAAATATGATGAAGGATGGAGCTGCCTTACGTATAGTTGGATGACCTGTGAAAAAGCTAAAGAATTAAACAGAAAAAATGAACATAAATACAATTTACATTTTTTAATGATTCGCTTAACTCAAAAACCTTCATGGTATTAAAGATTAGTGAAAAATAAATCAACAAATATTCATGATTATGGAAGTAAATTTGATAATTTGGCAACCAAGCACTGATTAACAGCAGACCAAATATTTAATGCAGATGAGACTGGATTACATTGACATGTGTTACTTAGCAGAACTCTCACATCATGGTAGATTTCTAAATTAACTTCTAAATTGTGTAAATGCTACTAGTACGCAATCTTTCAAATTATTAGTACACTAACAGATAAAAGCATGAGGTGTAAAAGTTTTAAAAGCATGAAACAGTTTTAAGTCATACATAATGCTCAGAAAAATGCTTGTATGAAAAAAGTGCTATTTAAATTATCGTTATTATATTCACGAAGCGATAAACCCGCAGGGGTTATACAGCACCTGGGAAATGAGATATAATGAGGTTTGATCCAAGGAAAGGGAGAATAGCTCCAATTCCTCTAATCCAGAGTCCTTTACCAGCATCAAAGCACACCCCCATCCCCTCCTCTTCAGAGGATCAGTTCTACAAGATTACTGTACTTTGAAAACCAAAATGAAGCTCTACTTTTCAACATGTTCATGATAGCTAATAGAAGGAAAATAAGACAATAACCACATGAGATCATAATATAAACATACTGTATAAGATGATAAAAAGATTTCAGAGGACTATCTACAGGAAGAACAAGGGGCCACAATTATATACATAAAAAATGTTGATGTAATGATTCTAGAATCTTTTCTTCAAACTGTGGTAGACTATTGGAATGGGATCCAGCAGGACGTACATGCTACCACCACTGTTAACTTAGTTAAATTAAATGACAATTAGTGAATATGGGAAACCATAATAGCTCTGCTCCTCAAATTACAAATATGAAGAGGGTCTCAACACACAATCTCAAATTACACACCCATGCTAACAAATGGGATACTTATGCACCCATTAAAATTTTACAACTCCCAAGCAGCAGCATTAACTATCCTTTGTGCTACTGTATGGTTTTTCTATACACAAAACTTCTTTTCAAGTTGAACCAGGAACAACTCATTTGTGAGTTTAACCAGAAACACAATTTGTTTGTGAGCTGAACTTCCCCAACTACAAGTAATGACAAACAGGTAATGAGTCATAAGGCATATAATTATTTAATCTTCAACATTCTGTTCTCAAGCAAAACTAACTTGACAATCCTGGAGTGAACATCAGATGATAAAATTGGGTCAGGCAGAGACCGCAAAAACTGCTTGAGGAGGCATGCACCATCTATCACATGAACACTGCTCGGAAGACTGCTCCCAGTGTCTATTAACTTCTGTAAAAGCAGTAAGTGATTTTTATATCAAATATTTTATAATGCCTCAAAAGTTGGAGAGTAATATACATAAATACAATTTATACAAAAAAATACTTTTTGTATATGTATGAATGGTATTAATATGCTGTTTTTAACACTCCAGCTGTCTCCCACTGAGATAGGGTGGCCCACCAAAAGTTAACTAATTCATCACCAGTGAATGAATGATGGTGAATGTGTTTCCCCTTTTAATTGTTACCCCACCTTAGTGGAGACAACCAGTGTACTAAAAGTTAAAAATATTCACACACACAAATACCATTCATACATACACAAATATATATGCACACACACACCATTCATACAATACAATTACAAGTTCTCAAATACTTATTACTATAACTATAAAAATTATCATTACCCTACTTCCTATTTTAACTCTCTTGCTGCCTCTCACATCAATCTACGTTACTGATGCCAGTGTTGCTCATGTAGATCTACGTTTGAAGCATAGTGCCCTCCAATATGCAGTGAGCAGTAACTTTTGGACTAAACATACACACACACACACAAAAAAAAAAAAAAATAGGCCTGTACAGTAGGTGCGCATGGTACAAAAAAAATCCTGCCCCATGTAGTGCAAGATGGGAAAAGCAAACCTCTGTGCTTGTATTTGGTTTAATGAAGAAAGTTTGAAGTGTTTATTGGATGTTTCTTGGAATCAATTGATAGAATGGAAGGCATACTATTGAAACAGATTATTTTTGTTGGTTTCAGACTCAAAGTAGCTTGAAATACACCTTAAAGTGGCAGAAATATTAAACTTTTGGCAAATTTTCCAACTCTCTTGGTCTGTTTTACGGGTTTTTACTAAATCTGGTTCAATTATTGGCACAGCTTAAATCATGACCAATAATTCTTGATTATATATATTTTTTTTAACACACTGGCCATCTTCCACCAAGGCAGGGTGACCCAAAACAAGACACGCTTTCCCCATCACACAAAATCGCTGTCTTCGCAGAGGCGCCCAGATATGACAGCTTAGACGTCATTCCAAACAGCCAATATCCCAAACCCCTCCTTTAAAGTGCAGGCAGTGTACTTCCCACCTCTAAGACTCTGGCTAACCGGTTTCCCTAAATCCCTTCACATAATATTATCCTGCTCACACTCTAACAGCTCATCAGGTCCCAAAAACCATTCATCTCCATTCACACCTATCTAACAGGATCACACATGCCCACTGCATGTCCAGGCCCCTTGCACACAAAATCTCTTTTACCCCCTCCCTCCATCCTTTCCTAGGATGACCCCTACCCTTCATCCCCTCCACTACAGATTTTTTTTTAACACATTGGCCATCTCCCACCAAGGTAGGGTGCACCCCCCCCCCAAAAAAAAATTCACTATCAGTCAACACTTTCACCATCACTCATACATAATCACTGTCTTTGCAGAGGCGCCCAGATACGACAGTTTAGATATTCACTCCAAACTGCAAATATCCCAAACCCCTCATTTAAAGTGCAGGCATTGTACTTCCCATTTCCAAGACTCAACACCGGCTAACCGGTTTCCCTGAATCATTGAAAAAGTCACACTAACCAGGGGAGGAGCAGGACGGCTATATATAGGCAGGAAGAGGTGGTGGTGTGAGTAGTAGTAGTAGTAGTAGTAGTAGTAGTAGTAGTAGTAGTAGTAGTAGTAGTAGTAAGTAGTAGTAGTAGTAGTAGTAGTGTAGAAGTAGTAGTAGTGTAGTAGTAGTAGTAGTATAGTAGTAGTAGTAGTGTAGTAGTAGTAGTAGTAGTAGTAGTAGTATAGTAGTAGTAGTATAGTAGTAGTAGTAGTAGTAGTAGTAGTAGTAGTAGTAGTAGTATGGTAGTAGTAGTAGTAGTAGTAGTAGTAGTAGTAGTAGTTTAGTAGTAGTAGTGTAGTAGTAGTAGTAGTAGTAGTAGTAGTAGTAGTAGTAGTGTAGTAGTAGTAGTAGTAGTAGTAGTAGTAGTAGTAGTGTAGTAGTGTAGTAGTAGTAGTAGTAGTAGTAGTAGTAGTAGTAGTAGTAGTAGTAGTAGTAGTAGTAGTAGTAGTAGTAGTAGTAGTAGTAGTACAAGAGTTGTATATAATACCGACAAGATGAAATTAGGACACATGCACAACACCGGGCATCCCCATCATAGACGTTTCGCCATCCAGCCAGCCACTGGATGGCGAAACGTCCACAACAAAGACAACCAGATGCCGCACATGTATCTTAATTTCATCAGTAGTTGTAGTAGTAGTAGTAGAAGAAGAGGTAGTAGTAGTGGTAGTGGTAGAAGTGGGAAATAAAAAGGACGAGCCAGTCAAAAACAAAGGAAGGGGAGCACTGCAAGAGAGCTAGATGCCCACAGAGGGAGAGCAAGCGCACAGAGGTGCGTGAAAGGGAAGTGGTGAAATAAATGAAGAAGGAACAGAAACACGAGACAGGAGAGAGAAAGACAACCCAGAGGAGAAAAGGAAAGAGGAAAGGGGAAGAGGAAGAAGAAGAAAAAGAAAAAGAAAAAAATGAGGATTCAGGTTTAAAATTCCGGGTTTTCTAAAAGGAGCATTTTACAATGTGGGGGAGGGAAGGGCTTACAGAATAAACCCAGGCAAGGTTCATACAAGGAAAGTTGTGTTTTAAGGGGATTCAACTAACGGGGGGACTGTTCAGTTGGAAGTAGGAAACGTTTTACAGAAGACCAGTCAATAGGATGGCTACGACTCTGAGGGGACAAAAAAAAGGAAATTGTTAGGGCGGCAAGTAACACTATTTTTGTGCTCCTAATCTGTCAGAAAGAGATCGACCGTTTCCCCAAAAGACTAAAGGGACAGGAGGGCAAGAAATAATAGACACCAGGAACTCTGTAAGGGAGGAAAGGTAGAACGAGATTAGTGCAAAGAGTGTTATCTGGCGGAAGGTAAGCTTGATGTCAAGGGGGGAGAGAATTTTTGAATTAAAAGACCGGGAAATGAGGGAAGGCAGAGATGATGAGCTCAATTGAAGGGGTTTGGGGAGAGAAAAAATTGCTTTTAGCACGTGAGAGGCAGAGTCCCCAAGAAATGGGAAGGTAGCCAAGACGGAGAACGAATTTTGAAGAGTGGAAATTTTGCTGGGAAAGGGTGAGGATCACAGTCGGAGGGCCAAGAGAAAAGGGGAGATAAAAACACTTTTCTTGACAGGGGGGAAACATGTAGGGAAAAAGTGAAAACAGCACTGTGCATAGGTTTCGTAAACGGAAAAGGGAAAAACTGTATCTACGGTGACAGGACACAAGGGAAAAGGAAACAAAGGGGAAATTTGATTCCCATTCAGCTTTAACTTAAAGGAAGGGGGAAGATTTTAAGAGCTTCAAGAAAAGGTTGGAAAGACTGGGGCTGGGCCACGAGCAAAGATGTCATCCACGCGGGGCCCCGAGTGAAGGTTTCACTCGAGGGGAGGGAAAAAGAAAAGCCGAAGTATTCCCTGTAAAGATTAGAAAGGGCAAGAGAGAGGAGAGCCCATAGCGCACCGAAGTTGAGAATATTTCCCTTTGGGGGGAAAAGGGTTTGAGTCCACCAAGGCGGGTCAGATCAAGAAAGCATCAGTGGGGGAAAGGGGGATAAAAAACCCCATGGGGTTCTTCCTTTGATCCTTTTCCCCTCCACTACTTGTAAATGCTCCAATCTTCAGAACACCCGTGACTTAAAACCCATCCTCATTTTTTCTTTTTTTTTTCTTCTTTTTCCCCTTCCCCCCTCTTTCCTTTTTCCTCTGGGTTGTTTTTTTCTCCCCTCCGTCTCGTTTTCTGTTCCTTCTTTATTTATTTCACCATTCCCTTTCACGCACCTCTGTGCCTTGCTCCCCTCTTGGGCATCTAGCTCTCTTCAGTGCTCCCTTTTTTTGTTTTTGACTGGGTCACCTTTTTATTCCCACTTCTACCATACCACTACTTAACCTCTTCTTCACTATACTACAACTACTGATGAAATTAAGACACATGTGCGGCGTCTGGTTGTCTTTGTTGTGGACGTTTCGCCATCCAGTGGCTGGCTGGATGGCGAAACGTCAATGATGGGGATGCCCGGGTGTTGTGCATGTGTCTTAATTTCATCTTGTCGGTATTATATACAACTCTTGTACTACTACTACTACTACCACCACCTCTTCCTGCCTATATATAGCCGTCCTGCTCCTCCTCTGGTTAGTGTGACTTTGTCAATGGTCCAAGTCGGACCGAAACGTCGTCATAAGCTTCTCTCTTTTATGTGCGGGTTATTTGTGTATCGTTCCAGTCACGGTATTGTGCCCTTTTTGTTATTCCCTGAATCCCTTCACAAAATATTACCCTGCTCACAAACCAACAGCTCATCAGTCAGATCCCAAAAACCATTCATCTCCATTCACTCCTATCTAACACGTTCACGCACGCTTGCTGGAAATCCAAGCCCCTTGCCCACAAAACCTCCTTTACCCCCTTCCTCCCCCCTTTTCGAGGACGACCCCTACTCCGTCTTCCTTCCCTTCTCCAAGTCATTATACTGTGTTCCATTCTCTCTAAATGACCAAAGCACCTCAACAACCCCTCATCAGCCCTCTGACTAATACTTTTAGTAACTCCACATCTCCTCCTTATTTCCACACTACAAATTCTCTGCATAATATTTACACCAAACATTGCCCTTAGACAGGATATCTCCACTGCCTTCAGCTGCCTCCTCACTGCAGCATTTACAACCCAAGCTTCACACCCATATAAGAGTGTTGTACCACTATACTTTCGTACATTCCCTTCTTTGCCTCCATGGATAATGTTTTTTGTCTCCACAGATACCTAAACACAGCACTCACCTTTTTTCTTTCATAAACTCTATGGTTAACCTCATCCTTCATAAATTCATCCGCTGACAAGTTAACTCCAAATATTTGAAAACATTCACTTCTTCCATACTCCCTCTCTCCAATGTGATATCCAATTTTTCTTTATCTAAATCGTTTGATACTCTCATCACCTTACTCT